TGGGGCTACAGGGAGACCCTGTCTCAAAAAGACAAAAAAAAAAAAAGAGGCCAAAAAATAAAATAGATAAATTTTAAAATTAGAATATTGTATATTTTATAGTGTGAAGTCCATTCCTGTTGGCCACTAAGTGAGGACAATAACTTCAAATAGTTGATCCTTGACAAAAGCTTTTTCTTGTCTTTGGATCTGTGTTTGCCTTTGTTTGAATGAGGCACTATCTGATATGAAGGAAACTCAGCTGGACAGCTACATGAGAAAGCACTGGCTTCCTTCTTGAATGCAGTGAAGCAATGTGAATATTGTGGTGTCTTCAGAGCTGGTAGGCTGGCTGGGCACCCCCGCCTTCCTTCAACATAGGGTATGGAAGGCAGTAAGTTGTTTTAGCTTAAAAAGATGCTAGAGCTGAAGTCCAGATGGCCTCAGTTAATCTACAGTGGGGCTACAAATAATTAAGAGCCAATTGCAAAAATAAGCAATAAGGACATCACAGTTTTAAGAGGCAGAGGGGATGTTAAAGCTGCTTTCATAGTAATGAAGAAAGATGACTTTCCTGCTGAGTTGGGGGATGTAGGGAACTTTTACAGCCTCCTCCCCAAGGTAGACCAGGGTCCTCTGTTTGCTCTGATAAAAGCCCATCTCTCCAGGATGATGAAGCTGCCTCCTTTGTGCTGTGTGGGAGGACTGGGCTTAGGAGATGATAAAACTTACTGGTTTTCTTGCCCCTCTGGTGACTTCCAGGATGACATGACAGACTCCCTGCGAGACTACACCAACCTGCCCGAGGCTGCCCCTTTGCTTACCATTCTGGACATGTCAGCTCGCGCCAAGTACGTGATGGATGTGGAAGAGATCACCCCGGCCATTGTGGAGGCTTTTGTGAATGACTTCCTAGCAGAAAAGCTCAAACCAGAGCCCATCTAGTGGGCTCTGGCCTCCTGGGACAGTATTTAAGACTCAGTCTTCTCTCCTCCCCTTCCTTCCCTCCACCCTTGGACTTTTCAAGCGTGTCCTGAATCACATAACCCAAGTGTCCAACCTCTGTGGTGCCTTGTTTCTGCATTAACTCCTCAGCTAGCACCCAAGGGTGCCCATCCTCACAGCGGCAACAGAACCCACCGTGTCTGGAGACTGCTTGGGATTTGTGGGGATGGCATGACCAGCCAGAACTGGGACTGCCACACTCTACTGGTCACTAGCTTCTGGTGAAGGACTTGCCAGGGTGTTCTGCTTAGTGAGCAGGTGGGGACAGTGGACCTGGGCTCTGGCTTGATTCTTGGGTCAGCATATACACACCAAGCCAAGCAGTTGCTTGGTGACACTTGTACCTACAGACGTCACAGAGAAAGGGCCATGGCCTCAGTGGACATCAGCTGAGAGGTCTTGGTGAGAACATGCTTTTTAGGGACATACTCTTTCTTGGTCTGAGGGAAACACAGCAGTGTGTCAGTGGGTTCTTGGGCAGGGGACCTCCAAATCTACAAGGAAGCTTGTGGGGCATTTGTTTTGGTGAGAAAAATGAGTAGCTGAGCTAATGATTTATATAGTACTTAACTGTGTGATTAGTTTCTCAATCTTTTTATCTTTCTTCCTTGCTCTTGACCTGTCCCAAGTTTCTGCCTATCTGTAAGAACAGCTCCTACTATCTAGGAATTTTGGTAATGAATTCTTCCTTGGACATCGTCCCAAGAACTCAACCCTGATTTCTAAAGGAGCACAGCCCAGCCAGCACAGACCTCTGTGTGGCCAGTCCTGTGCCAAGCACCTGCAGCCCTTCACTGTTCCCCATTCTTTTCATAGTGGATCTGAAAATTTATTAGAGGTCTAGCTTTTCACTGAGGACCTGCAGAAGGAGCTGTGTCCTAGAGTGGAAGTGAGGGCGGAGGACATGTCACCTACAGTAGGACTTGGACCTCCTTTGCACGGCCCAGGTAGCTGAGCTGACCACAAAGAGGGAAACACCAGCTGTGTTCTTAGAATCGGGTAGAGGGCTTTTAGGAATTCCCAGGAGTTCAACCTGTCTCAGTCTGGGACTTAAACCATCCAGGCCATATTACCCTTAGTTCCACTCAACACTCTACCAGCCAAAACCATCGATTTTGGAAAACCCAGTCCCCCTCCCCCCACAAGCTGTTGACACTTTTTCCTTGCTGAATTGGATTGTTGATTTGTAGTTCAGAGGTACAAAATTAGTTGGTAATTAGACTATTGGATGTTGCCAGCCTGAAATGCAGTCACCTAGAAAGAATAAAGCAGGCATCTCTGGACCTTATCCTTCACTTGGCCTTTCCTGTTCTCAAGTATAACAGTCATTTTCACTTGAATGTGCTATTTGGGATGGGCAGGGGCCAGGGGGATGTTTGAAAATCTTCAGGGATCTCTTGAACTGAGACTGGGGACAGAGTTTAGTGGTAGGGTGCTTGGCTAGCATGAACACAGCTCTGAGTTCAATTCCAAGCATCATACACACACACACACACACACACACACACA